GCGGAAGGCGCGCCAGGGCCAAGTGCATCAGGGCGGGCGGTGTGGCCCCGTGTCGGAGCTGCCGCGCGAGGTGCGCGCCCCGGCCGGCGGCACCGTCCACAGGCCATGCCGGGCGAGGGACGCGGCCTTGGAGCCGGCGGTCTTGGAGCTGAGGCAGTGCGCGACCAGGGGCTGGTCAGGCCCCCCCGGGGCGAAGACCCGGTCGCCGCACTGCCGCACGACCAGCTCCTCGGCCAGGAAGGCCACGCGCAGGGCCGGGGCGGCACGGGCCGCCGGCGAGTCGGCCCCGGGCGGCGGGGGGCCCGGCCGCCCGGCACACCGGGCCTCCCAGCGCGCCAGCGCATGGTCCTGCGACAGCTGCACGGACCGGCGCATGGGCATATGTGTGTATGTGTATGTGTGTGTATGTGTATGTGTGTGTATGTGTGTGTGGTGGCGCGAGAGCGAGAGAGAGAGAGAGAGAGAGAGAGAGACGCGAGGGCGTGTTAGTGTGCGGGGGGGCGCGGCAATCCAGCCCGGCTGCGTGCGTGTGTGTGTGCGCGAGGGAGAGCGCGAAGCACGCCGACCGGGGAGGGTCCGACAGCCGCAGGCGCGCGGGCCGCCCCTGGCGGCGGCGGCGGCGGCGGCGAGGGGCCGCTTCGGGACGCACGCGGTTGGACGCCACCTGGACCAGGCAGGGCCGGGCCTGGGCGTCGGCCGAGTGGCGGCCCACGCAGCGGGGCCGGCCGACGCCATACTCCACCAGCATGCGGTTGAGTGCGGCCTGGTCGTCGAAGGTGGCCGGGCCCGGGGGGGCCGCATGCGGCGCGGACATCCAGCATGCGTGCCGGGATAGGATGTCCCCGGCCGGGCAGGGGACCCAGGCGCACCGGGCCCCGGGGCCGGGGAGAGGCACGGCCAGCACCGGCCGGCCGGCCAGCTCGGCACAGGGGGCCTCGGCGGCCGGGGGGTTGGCAGCCGGCGGCGGGCCCGCCACCCCGGCCGCCAGGACCCGGCGCAGGAGGTGCCTGGTGCTGGGCGTCCCCCGGAGCAGGACGAACCCCATGCACCCGGTGACGCCTTGGCCGAGGGGGGCGGGGGCGCGTCGCAGGAGGCATCGCGGCCGACACGGTGACCGGGAGGTGAGCTAGGCGAGGGCGGCAGCGGGCCGATGGCCAGCGGACAGGCGGAGGGGGGATGCGCGGCGGCGGTCCCCGGGCGGCCGGCCCGACGCACCGAGGAGCTCCTGCACATCGGCCGGGAAGGTGCCGCGGGAGAAAAGCACGTCGGCGGTGTCCAGCGCATGCCGGCCGACGGCGTCCAGGCACCGGGGCCCGCCGCCGCCGGCGGCGGCCAGATCATCGAAGAGATCCTGCTCCAGGGCATCCAGCCGGCCGGCCAGCCGGGCCAGGCCACGCGCGCCCGGGAGCCCGGCCGGGGGCGCCTCGCGGCGGGCCGGCCGCCCGGCCGGGCTCTCGGGGAAGATCCACCGATCGGGCGCGCCGAGCCACACGGCGTCCAGGTCGCTGTGCAGCACGTCCAGGCCGCACTCGAGCAGGAGCTGCAGCAGGCCCATGCGCACGGCCCACAGGGCGCCGAGCTCGGCCGACCGCAGCGGCCCGGGGCCCCCGTCGAAGAGCCGGCGCACGGCGTCGCGCCAGGCCCGGCCGCCGGCCGCCGCCAGCGTGTCCAGCACCGAGCGCGGGAAGGGCCGGAAGGGGATGCCTGGCCCGGGGCCGGCAGGGATCGCGGAGGAAGCAGGGGAGGGGGGGGGGGGAGATACAGGCGGGGCGGTGTGGTCAGGAGGCCTTGGAGGGTGGCCGAGGCAGCAGGGGCGGGCGGGCGAGACAGCGCCCGGGCGCACCGCGACGGCGGAGCTCGTGCGCCAGCGCCGGCGGCCCGACGGGGAAGAGGGCCACCGCGGGCCGGCGGCCGGCGGCCCAGCCGGGAGCGGCCATCGCCACATGCCGCAGCCAGTTGTCGGCCACGTCCAGGAAGGCCTCGGTGACGAGGGCCACACTGAGCACCGGGCGGCCCTGGTGGCCCGGCGCCGGGGGGGCCACGGCCCAGGCGCGAGCCATGTCGCAATAGCTGGCCTCGTCGCGGGTCAGCCAGCGGGGCGCCGGCCAGTCGGCCTGCGGTCCCTCCGCCGCCAGCGCGGCCGGCGGCACGAGCGTCGGCGGCGACAGGTCGGTCACCAGGTGCGGCAGGATTTCCGTAGGGAGGCCCTGGGCTGCGGCGCGGGCAAGTACCGCCGCCAGCAGGGCGAGCACCAGGCACAGCATGCGAGGCAAGGCCGGGCGGGTTGGGCGGGCAGGGCGGGCGATCAAGCGAACAGAAAAGCGGGCAAGCAGGCGGGAGGGGGGAGGGGGGGGGGGGCGATGTCCCGGGGCCGGGGCCGCCCGCCGGCCACCACCCCGGCCGCATTTCGGAGCTCGACGTCCCCGATGGCGCGGACGTGCTAGCCCACAATGTGGGCATGTGAGGCGCCGGTCACGTACGCCAGAACGCCATTGTGTTCTGGGGCGCCCGCTGGCGGTGCTCCCTCCCGGCTGTCCCTCCGCCGACGGGGGGGGGCGGGAAAAAGGGGGGAACGCGGTGCGCGCGGGCACCGGGGAGGCGGCTGCCCGCGCCGAAGCGCACCCCGGCAGCTACATGCGCCCCCTGGCCGGGGGCGGCTGTTTGCGCCGTGACGTTTGTCCCGGCCGGCGCCGGAAATGCAGCGGCCCGTGTGTTTACTTTTCCCCCGGAGAGGAGGGGCCGGGGGGGGG